AGCTCTCAAGATTCGACAAAATGTATTATCAAGTGATCATTCAGGCATTGCCTCAATTTACAATAATCTTCGAACACTATATGATTGTAAGGGAAATTATTCAAAAGCACTTAAATACTTCGAAAAATCAATCCAAATTAGGCGTAAGACGTTACCACCTACTCATAAGGAACTAATTAAGACCGAAAAAAATATTTTTAAAATAAAAAATAAAATGAAAACATCGTTTGACATTCAATGGAAAGAATATATTCTAAGAATGTTCCGCGTTCATATCGTATATACTTATGATTATTAAGAGTGTGGGTGTGGGCATTTCCAGCATTGACACCGACACCAATACCCACACCCACACCCTTATCGATTTGAATATAAATATATAAATTTTAATCAAAGCTAATGAGAGGTGTGAGTGAAGTTTTGTTATAACTGATCGTAATGTTAGGTAGTGGCGCTATCTTTTGTCCACTACCTCCTTTTTCTTCTCTTTCTTCTATGTTCTATTGATTGGTCATCTGTGTGATCCATAAGAATAGATAGATGACCGGATTGTTAGTTAGTTAGTGTGTATGTTTTTCCCGAGTAGAAAAGAATAAAACGTGAACCAGGAGTGTGTTGATCGACACTTCCTAACAATTGGTGCCGTGACCCGTCGTGATCCATTTCGACCACAATTCGTCGAACACGATAAGATTTTTTTCCTCTAGTGAAGTTGTTTTTTTTTTTTGTCCTAGTCCTGATCGTCTTCGATTTATTTCTATTGTTTTTCCTGGTTTAACTTTTGTCTTTATGACCTTTATTCTGAAGTTATTATTCTTACTGGTGCCTATGTTACCATTCTGATCATTGTGTTATTCATTACTTTTATTGTCCTGTTTCTGCTGAATTTACTATTCGTCTTATTGTTATCGTGAAGTATTATTATTAATTATGGAAGAATTAATTCGATCAGTTATACAATTTGATGGTGCTCTAAATCAAGATGTTATTCAATGGCTAGAATATATTGAAGAAGTATTTGATCGAGTACAATTACAAACATCAAATAAATATATTGCTATACAATACTTTTTAACTAATAGTGCTGCTACGTGGTTTAAATATAAGAAATCAAATATTCCTGATTGGTTTACATTTAAACGTGAACTTATTGAAGCTTTTCAATCGTCGTCCTCCTTTTCCTCATCACATCTTCTTGATCGACATCAATTAATAATTAAAGAAGAACCACAAAAACTTGAACAAGAACAAGATATATTACCTGTTCCTGCATCGACTTCAATAATATCCAACAAGAAAAATGATAGTGAAGATTATCAATTAGATTTAGTTCATGATGGTTCGATTAAATCATTAGAAAATTTAGAAGTTGATGATTTAGAAGATAAATGTTTACATGAACATGAACAAGGTTATTACTCATCTATATTAGTTAATACTAATGATTTTGATCTGGATATTCAACATCAAGATGCAGATGCAGCAGATAGTTGTGATACACAACAACAAGGTGCAAATGTAGCAGATGTTTGTGATCAATTAGAACAACAAGGTGAATCTGTTATTAATTCTGATTCTGTTCAAACTGATATTGAAGATACTTTTGAAGATTTTACTCGACCTATGGATAGTTTAACAGGTAATGATTCATTAATTAATATTGTTTTACCACATGATGTTCAATATTTATGGTCTGATAAATATAAACCACGTCCACCTCGAATTCTTAATAAAGCTCATGCTGTTTATAATTGGAACCGATATAATAAGCTACATTGCAATCAAGATGACTCACCACCACCAACTATTCAAGAGAATCAATTTAATACTGTTAGTACAGAATGGAATTACACATATAATCATGGACTTCGATTTTATTTTTATAATGAAATGATTCAATTAAGATTTTCTTTCCGTAAATGGAAATATCGTCTCTCAACTTTATTTTGTTTTCGTAAATGGAAATATCGTCGAGTAACTTTTTCTGTTTGTTTTTATTGTTTGTCGTTTAAAACTGTTCTACCTTATGTTATTTTTTCATTTTTGCTGTTTTTTCTTTGATGAACTTATACTTTTATGTTACTCAAACTATATCTCAGGATATACATAAAAAAAAAAAAGAAACAACAGAGTTACTATTGTTCATCTTCATCTATTTTTTCACAAGTACTGTATTCTATTTTTTCTATTCTCAGTGATGATGCTGTTACACCTCGCGTTTCTTTTATTTGTTTTATTTTCTATCTCTTTATTTGTTATTATCTCTTCGTGAACAGATAAACCCGTTCACTGGTAAGGGGCGGAGGTGTTAGGTAGTGGCGCTATCTTTTGTCCACTACCTCCTTTTTCTTCTCTTTCTTCTATGTTCTATTGATTGGTCATCTGTGTGATCCATAAGAATAGATAGATGACCGGATTGTTAGTTAGTTAGTGTGTATGTTTTTCCCGAGTAGAAAAGAATAAAACGTGAACCAGGAGTGTGTTGATCGACACTTCCTAACACGTAAGAAATTAATTTTTATTCGTCTAGCTAAGAAATTATTTTGTATACGTGGTTGAACTATTGCAATGTGTGCGTCATGATTTGAGACTGTTCATACGAGTTTCGATTTCATATTTTAATGATAAAGAGAATTTCAAGACTATAACTAGTCAAAAGAACACTTCATTTTTAACTTCTGAAAATTCAATTCATCGCCGTGAAATTTCTTGTTAGTTCTACTTTAAAAAAAAATTAGAACTTATGTTTCTATTAAATAAATTAAAAATTCTTTAAATTGAGTTAAACAGTTTTGAATGCTACTTATGTTTCCAAATAAGTAGCTGTGCTTTCTACACAGCGAATACTAGACCGTATGATTGATAAGGACAAGATGAAGTATAAGACTGCAACAAACATTATGATTTACTAATCATATGCGTATTTATTTATTAATATTTCAACAATATACAATTGTCATCATCAGAATAAACACGTTATTACAATAAGAACAACAAAGAAAGACTTATATATGTGAGAAGGAAAAAAAAATATATATATATATAATTGATGGAATTAATGATTATTTGTATGATGATTAGACTAATATTGAATGAGCGCTCATTCAATATTAGTCTAATTCTTCTGTTCGTAGAACAGGTGTGGGTGTGGGTGTGGGTGTGGGGTGTGGGTGTGGGTGTGGGTGTGGGTGTGGGTGTGGGTGTGGGTGTGGGTGTGATTGGGTGTGGTTGGTGTATGGGTGTTGGTGTGAGTCTTCTCTTCATCCACACCCACACCCACACCTGTTTAAGAATATATTCTTGAAAATCAGACCAGATTCTCATTGAAAGAAAGAAAAAAGAACCTTGTCTGCTCATCAAGAAAACAAAGAATATAGCAAGAAACACAAGATATTCAAGAATTTTTTGAGATCAGCTAAGATTCTTGGACAAGAAAGAGGAAAGAATCTTGCCTGACAATGTTATTCTTGCCTCGTCAGACAAGAATCGGTCTACAAGAATCTGGAAAGAACTGTCAAGATCGTCGACTAGTGTTATAATCATAATCGTATAATAAAACACAAACGAGCAAATAACATCAGTTTTATTACACATATCAATGAATTGGTTGACGTATCGCAGAGATGGATAGAATAAGAGAATCAGTCTTTATAGAATTTTGCTCTAGTGACTTGAATCGTTGCATCGTTTAGTCATTTTCTTTTCACCATCGTATCTTTATTCCCAGTCGATGCTTAAAGCGTAATTTCATAAGGAATTGCAAGAAGAAATAAAAAGAAAAAAAGCGACAGAACAGAGAAAAAATTCTCCTTCAGAAAAAAAAAAACTTTAATATTGCATTATTTTCTTTCACCATCATCCTATTATAAGCAGCAATTGATTCAATAGAGAATATTCAACACGCAGTCAAATTCAGATGAGTCTTTCTTCAAATACATACAGGATTGAAAACAAAAAATAATGAGTCACACGGCATTTTTTGTTAGTCGGTATCACATCTTTTTATTCTCTAGAATATCATATAGTTGAAGTAACTTTTCGCTTTTGTATGACAATACTTTTAGCCGTTTTGCTTTCGGTTGAAAAACTTGAACGAATTATACATGCTTTTTTTCCAGAATAGATAAAACATGCGATTTAGCCATTCCCCATGTGAAGAAAGCAGTAGTAATTTGTACAAGCAGTCCTCATCAGTATAAAAGTCTATCTGGTGACGTATGATTAAACATATAAGGCTCTCATTTTCTCTTGTGCGTTCTTACATTTGAGTAGAAAACATAATGTTGTTTTTTTCTGTTCTGTAGTGTATAGTATTGTTCCTTTTTTTTATGTGCGAACTGTAATGGTCTGTTGACAGTTGCTATAAATAAAACAGTAACTACCTTTTTCATTACGTAGATTACTTTGAGACAAACTTAGCTGAGAAAATGAACGTCTATGAACAACGAAATTCATGAAAAGCACTCCCATCAATATCTGAACCTTTTTGGTTCAACAAACAAGCTAGCACAAATATTTCAGTGAATGACAATTGTAACTTGGTCAGCGATGTGTAGACATCAATTGGAATGTTTCCCTTGAGTTTCTTTCTTCCCAGACGTTCATTTTCTCAAATAAACTTGGCTTAGTATGAGCCTCATAGAGGTGCAATTTCACGCACTATCAATCGGTCAAAGCTCTGCCAAAGGCGGCTTTCATATTGAGTCAGAACCGTAATATTTTTGTTTTAGATAAAGCTACATTGTTATGACGAAAAAAAAAGACATCAAGACAAACTATGGCAGGTAAGTTCAGTGAATTCATACGATCGAGGAGAATCTTAGAAAGTTCATAGGGTTTATGTACTTCTCTAGTTTTTCTGACAATTATTGCGACGTCAAATATGTGAACAGGGGCACGTTCGGATATGTTCTGGAAGCGACAAACAAATATGATCAAGATCGTGTTGCTGTCAAATGTGTTCGGCTGCTGACGTGAGTTCAGAACTTTGAAGATTCTTTCTTTGAGCATAGGTCCGATAAAATATCTAGTTTTTAGAGCGTATAAAATCTGTAAAAAATTCAAAACTGAATTCAGCATTATTTTAAGTAGGTCACTCATCCCCACTGTTTCCTGTGTAACTTATCTAACAATTAGATCGTTTCACTGTACCTGTTTTGCTGATCGACAAACATCATTTATCTGAAACCGCTAATAACACACATATTTGATTTTTCTAGAGATGAAATAGAAAAAACGCGCAAAGAAGTAATTGTACTTAGAACTTTACAACACGAAAATATTGTTGGTTATAAAACGGTTTGGTGTGAACATCCTCCGGATGATTGGCAAAAAAAGCAAGAGAAATCTTTTCAAGTTCCATCATCCTCGGAAGATAGTACAACTGGTTTTAATACGATTCATAGTATATCAAAAGAATCAAAGTCGAACCAAGAAAGTAATGATGACACATCAAATCCATTTCACCATTCCGAAAAGTGGGTTCCATTGAATGCAAATAGTGACGAAAACAAGAAAGCACCAGAGATCACTAATATACGTTCAGAAGAAGAAGAAGATAACAACTATGAGGAACAAGTGAGTTTCTCTCAATTTTTTTACCTGCCACAACTATTTATGCCTTAGACATGGCCATCTGTTACGTCTTCGACTAGCGCAACACCAAGACTGTCCATATTGTACATAGTTATGGAATTGTGCAAGCCCGAAACATTGAAACGTCGTCTAGATCCTGACTATCGCCATAATTATGAACTAAATCATTTAA